CTTTTATTAGCATTATCGTTATCGTACTAGTATAGCCAATGGCTAGGGGGTCTTTCATGAGGTCCTTACTTATAACATGAACTTAGCATACACATTCACACACACACGACCATGGTTATTATGTTCAGTGACGCCCGTCAGATCCTCTCCGTACCAAATCCTCATCTGCTTGTACTTGGGGAAGTAGAAGGGCTGGGCAAAGTCGGTGAGGACGATTTCTTTGGAAGAGGTTGTGTCAGCGAAGGGAACTCGATACCAGATAGAAGGAACATATCTGCAAAATATATAAAATACTGTCGCATATAGTACTGCTCAGATTTTTGTAAGCTAAATTATTTGTCTATATAATATTACCCAAGATCTGGTTTTTCTTTGGAAAGATAACTTGGTTGTGTTGATCGGTCACTACGGCATTAAAAGGGTTTGCGACTAAATCGCTATGGTTTGTACATCCCCAGTAACTATTGTAGGCTTGACCGGTAGCGCATGCGATGTGGCCAGACAAGTGCTCTAGTTTGATCGCTGCTACCAAACCAGATCTTACGTAGTTATGGAAAGAACCGAAGCGGTCACCGCTGCCTTGGAAACAAATGTCGTGATGATTCATCTTAATCCAATCACTGATGCAGGAGTTTTGGATACCTGAGAAAAGATTCGAATGTGCGTCGCCACATCAAAATATTAACAGGGCAAGAAGTTATTGGGAGGGGGGGGGGGGGGGGACTATTTTATTTAAGGTGACTGGCTGCTTTTGAAAATGAAAATAACTTTTTTTCTAATTTACGATTCGTTAAAGTGAAATTTAATGCTATGATTCCAAATAGGAAAAGGAAATGGGTTGTCCTAAGCTTATTTTCAAAAAAATTAGCATTCAATGGATGCATTCGCGCGAGTTTTAGTTGACTGTTATTTCAATTAAGCTTATACTAGTCGTTACATAATGTAAGTGAAGTGCTGCGGATATATGCAAGACCACATTTTACCAACAACCGGCACCAAGAGACATGAAAACATTCATCAACAATACCAGACTAATAAAGTTGACAGTGTTCATTTAAATGAGCTCGAGGGGCAGCATAGACGATCAAATAACCCCACAAAGTATTCTGCAACCCACAACGAAAACGTGCTTTCGACGTAATGCGCGTTTCCTCTTATGAAGAACTCCGCAATCCATATGTACTGCAGCCGAGCCGAGTATTTACCAAGCATTCTAGATCTCCGAAGACACGCTACGATACGACCGATGCCCGAGCATATGCGGAGCATCCTCCGAGAAATCCGGCTGGACCGACGCCGTGATCCAAATTCGAGATTTTGCTCGCATACAGTCCACAGGGTTCCCAACATCCAATAACTGTTGTGTCGAGTTTAGTGTTGCTGCTCGCAATACGACTTCGCAGCAAAAACGTATGGAGTCTCGTGCAAAATTTAAGAGGGTTTTGCCTTCTTTGAGTTTAAAACATGTAGGGTAGGCAGTCATCTTAAGTAATTTATTGAAAGTCAGTTTAAAAAAAAAAGCGATATGAAGTGATACACGTGCCCAATTGCGACTGGGTAATTCCCTTTTTTGCGCTGCGCATTTTTCTGCGCATGCAACTTAAAGCATGGAACTAACAAAGTTTAGACATTTTTCTTTCGGAAACTAAATATGAAACATGCTCAAAACCAATTTTCACTTTTTCCTCTTTTTTGAGTAGAGAAATTACGATTTTTATCTGACTCGCCCCAGTCCCCAGTCGCTTTCGACTATTTTGAGATGTTTTTTCCAAGATAAATCAAAAACGAGAATGGTGACCCCCAATTTTTATTTCAGATCTTTGATAAATGCGATGCTCGTAATTATGTGTGGAAATAGGAAGGAAAGTTTATTGGATAGATTTTGAAATATTTTGATGGGAATAGTTGACGTGAAATTTTTGGACGTTCGTAGAGGCGAATATACCTGCATTTTTCACTAATAGTTCAAGAATCATAGTCATCAAAAATTAATGACTTTGATGGATTTAATAGTATAGATTATCTAGTAAACTTCAAGTATTAAGTACGTTTTATTATATGAAAATACTTTAATTTAACTGTGAATAAGAGTTCTTGATTACAGCTTCCGGTTGCTACCGCATTTCACTATAAAACCCATAAATTGACATATTTGGAAAGCATATCTAGCGAAAAAACGAGAATGGTGACTCCATCTTTTTATTGCAGTTTTTAAATGTCCATAACATAGTTAATGTCCATGCAAAGTTTCAGGACAAATTTATTGAATTATTGAAAATAAAGGCATAATGATCCAGTAAAAACATCATATAACTTTTCAGTCTACTTATCGTGTTTATCTCGTACTTACCCTCCAGTAAAAGGACAACAGAGGACAAAATCAAAGCAAGACAAAGAGCACGGCACGAAAACATGTCGTTATCATTAAGCTGTAGGAGCTGATCTGATATGACGATCACGAAATTCAGTATTATTTTATAAACCCAAATTAACTACTATCAACGAAAAACGTATTATTTGTTTATTTGTTTAACTCTATACAACACGTCTTTACTTGAAAGTGTGTTACTGATCATTTTCTTTTTTCCTCTTACTATCTTAAATTATTTAAGCATCTTTTTCATTAGAGGGGGAGGGGGAGGGGAAGGGGGAACAATAATCTTGCACTTGGAATCTCTCTTGGCGACGTCCTTTCGGGTTATTTGAATTGGCCACGACCCTAAGGAAAACTTACTGAGTACCTGGCTAAGAACTAGTGGTTATAAGACAACAAAACAAGTTAACTGCATTTTTTCTTCTTTGTAACTGAGAGTTATCCCAAACCATTTTAATAGCATCATAATGACATAATGTGTTTATTCATTTAAACTTGTTTTTTCTTGCCTTATCTAATTATTCGCCAGGTAGGTCTTCGTTAATTTCTATTTTTACATTGTTTAGCTTATATATTACGATCACTAGTTAGACACTAAGTTTAACATGTGACACGCCAGTGAGAATTAATGATATATCGAAAATTAAATAAATTGAAAGATATGATACCATATATGATTTGTCAGCTTGAACCAAGAGATATGAACTACTTAGTTTATTTTCTCTTGCTTGAACAGAATTAAAGGTAAAAACGAAAAAAAGGGGGGGGGGGGGGGGGGGGGGGGGGGAAGGTATTATAAAATGACCAAAAGGGAAAAAACAACATGTACACCTTTTTAATAAAAACGTCGGTCGAAGGTCTGAAAACTGACACTGAGTAGCACGATGCAAATTGTATGATGTATTCACAGCCAAAACACTAAGTTTTCTTTTAGATTCAAATATGAGGCATGACCTTTGATTTTTCGTGTTTTAGCCATGAGAAAACATTTCTTCTCAGATCGCCCATTTCAGATTGTGCCGGACCGACTATAACGTTTTTGTTTTAAAATAGGTGTATAAAACTGGACCTGGTCATATAACAGCAATCCTGAGTAGTATTCGATGATCGTTTTTTGACGTGATGATAAAACCAAACCAACAAAAGAAATCCTTCCTGGGGTCTGGGGAAAACAAGGCTCTCGGTGTCCTCTTACTAATGCTGGACGTGGTGTTAGTGGAGGACGTCCGTCTACTGATTCGTCAGATGGAAGTAGAAAAATACGTTCCTTTTGGGAGTAAGGAGCTTAAATATTCAACTCCTTGGTGTTTCTCCAAGTTGGTCCATGCTCCTGCAGGTATGCGGGAATGATATATGGTGCTAATTGGAGAGACTCCATTCAGATGATCGTTTTTTGACGTGATGATAAAACCCAACCCAATAAATAAAACTAACCTCTTAGGTCTGAGGGAAGGAAGGCCTTGGTTTCTTACTGTTTCAGGAAGAAGCTTATTTAGTGAATGATGATGACACATGGACTTTTAAGAGGAAGTCTTTGTTCTGAGTTCATTATTTCAAAATATGTTGCTTTTTTCATCAGTTGGAAGTAGAAAAATGTGTTAATTCTGGGAGTATAAGGAGCTTATTATTATACAACTCCTTGGTTTTTCTCCATGGTGGCCCATGCTCCTGCAGGTAGTTTTATATTTTATCTACATTTTCAATAAATTTTGATGAAAAAATCTATGAATAACAAAACACAGAATTTACATGCAAAAAAAAAAAACCTTTGAAAAAATAAACTTCATGTGCACCAAGCTAGAGTTTCAAAGATTTTTTATGAATTTCGATGATTAAATTATTAAAAAACATTTTTTTAAAATTAGTTTTCTAGTTATTTTACATCTTCGATAATTTTTCGAATTATCAAGATTTGGATTCATCTGGACTTTAATTTAGTAGGTATTTGTGTTGACATATTTTAGATACGGTAAAACCCTGCGTATAAGAACCTAGATTTTTCCAAAATATTTTTTTGAAATTTCAGCCAGAAATGGTTCTTATGTGAAGGGTGCTTAAAATGAAAATTTCAGCCTGAAAGGTTCTTAAATTTTAGGTTCTTATACACGGGGATTTACTGATTGTGTAGTTCCAGAAATTATCCATCCACCCACTCCTCTTCATGGAGGAATTTTTGGAAATTCCAATTTTCTTCCATTCAAACTCTGTAATTTTGTTTTTTTCTCTGACCCCCCTCGATTGATGGTGAAGAATATACTGAAGTTAAAAATACTAAGGAATATTAGAGGTGAGGCATTCAACTTGTGTATTAGTCTAATATCTATTGAACGGGCTTAGTGCCTTCACTCTATAAGCACTTCTGTCTGTCACATTTTTTCTCCTTACTTTTCTTTCTTTTTTTCTTTCACTCTTCTCTTCTCTTCTCTTCTCTTCTCTTCTCTTCTTCTTGAAATGGTACTCGCCCTACCTTGTTTGGCAGACTGGTTTCATGAAATAAGGAAACATCTTGCTGAGCAGAGTATATACTTGTGTAGACTAGTTCTCCTGTACAGCAGTGATCAAGATTTAGTAGTTTTACTATTTGGCTTGACCACCTTACTACTGCCTATTGGGTTATTGTTTTTGCTGCAGAGGAGTGGGGCACACCACCTAAAAATACCCCTAAGATGGAAATGTATGGAACACACTTGTCTCAAATAGTGATTATTAACGAACTATAGATCTGACCTCAGGCTCGTGGGTTGGGATGATGAAGCCCGGTATAAAGCATTTGCCAAATTCTTCAAGGTAGGTTTTATTGTCAATATCCATCATAACAGAAACTTTACAAATAAATATAAAGAACCTCCAATAAAATGATGAATGACACAATTACGCTTGTCTAAGGCTGTGAATAGCGCAGCGCAACCGTGACGTCATAAAAAAGAAGAAAAAGGCGAAATTCGGACAAACAAAATTACAAGTTTACTTTCAGCAGAATTTTAGTTTACATGGGTTATTATTGTAACTTTAAGTAAAAATAATAAAATCGGTTGGTATAATCCTCGTAGCGGTTAAACAGAATGCAATGTTTGTCCGAATCTTTAAGCTATTTTTAGAATCAGTGTGCTGCGCTATTCTAGATGTTACTGAAATGCAAGCTGCGCATGCACAAGGTTTGATAAAGGGTGAGATAAATGTCTGAGATTTGTTCTAGAGTTCATATATTGTACTTTTCTGACAACAGTACGGTGCAGAAAGTACTTATTTGAGGGGTTATAATTGTAATTAGGGGAACCATGTTTAATGATTGAAGAGTGAGTAATGGCATAATTGTCCAACTCTTTAATCATAAAAGAGGTTTTGGTGATTTGTTTTTCTCAAAAAGTACAAATAAAGTCTTAAATAATGTTTCTATGTTTTTCTTGTCTTCTGGTGTGGAGGAGGGCGGGGCTCACAACCCCGGCATGCGGTCGGCGTCCTAGTAGGACCCCTCCTAGCTGATGACCACCACACTTGACCCATTGCACTTCCTGGGTCAATCACTGGTGAGATGGCCAAAACAAAAAGACTATGTACACTGTGTGCTTTAACATGGAACGCTGTTGAATAAACGTACGCAGGTAGAAAAGAAGGAAAACGAAATTGCGGCAACATGTAGGATAATAAGTAGGAATTGCGAAAATTAAAAATAACGGTAGTGCGCGCCTCATACAGAATCTAGGCAACCTATACAAACCTACAACGACACAATGAAATTTCACGTATCCCACATGGAAATTCCTTGAATAGGTTTTGTTATGTGCCGCATGCTAATTCCCAAGGGATTCCATATATTCCCAAATTCATTACGTATTTCTTACGGCCGCATTTTCCATTTGTTCGAGCAAGAAAGGAAACTTGTACAAAGATTGTACATCCCACATGGACCACAGTGGTGGTATTACCTAGGTAGTTGCATTTTTATGAGACGGGGAGGTTGGATGGGGACGAGGAGGATCCTATATGGATTTTCATCCACTTTTCCAAGATCTTCCAATTTTTAAGATCCTTCCTTGCTGGATATCCAAATTTATGTGTCTTCCATGATATCTCCCCTTACAGAATATTACGATAAAGAGCTAAAATAAAGATACTTGCTCGAAGAGAAATCTTGATAAATTGTACGTCTCTAAACAAATTGTACATCCCACATGGACGACTGTGTTTAAAATATAGAGAAGAGAGGCATCTGCATGGGGAGGAGGAGGGGGTAGATGGAGGACGAAATGATGAAATGAAAATTTGGCTTCTAAATAGAGACATTCTAGAGTGTCTCTATAATAGACACTTAGTAAACATCCAAGATTGTTAATTAGTCTTTTAGGGTCGGATCAAAAGTACCCCCTTTGAAAAATTTTTTAAAAAATTTAAAAAATGAGGAAGTTAAGAATCAGAGAAAAAAAAATCAAAAGAAAAAAATCAAAAGAAAAAATGTTAGGGTTAGGGTTAGGGTTAGGGTTATGGTAAAAATCGTTAGGGTTAGGGTTAAAGTAATTGTGTTAGGGTTAGGGTTAGTGTTAACCCTAACCCTAACGAATTTTACCCTAACCCTAACCCTAACATTTTTTCTTTTGATTCTTTTTCTTTTGATTTTTTCTTCTCTTTGATTCTTAACTCCCTCATTTTTTTATTCTTCAAAGGGGGTACTTTTGATCCGACCCTAAAAGACTAATTAACAATCTTGGATGTTTACTAAGTGTCTATTATAGAGACGCTCTAGAATATTTCTATTTAGAAGTCAAATTTTCGTTTCATAATTTCGTCCTCCATCTATCACCTCCTCCTCCCCATGCAGATGCCTCTCTTCTCTATCTTTTAGTCACAACTGTCCATGTGGGATGTATAAACCCTCATTTCATACATGTACAAATCCCGTCTTTTACACGCGGACACTTCATTCAAGGATCCGTATTTTGCCTTCAAACATACTTTCTGGACCGCATATATGAAAGGCCATTATTGGAGCGTTGAGGATCAAGTAAGCCAGCTTTTTGGATTCGTTTCCTGGAGAGGCGGAAAATCCATATAGGATCCTCCACGTCTCCACCTACCTCCCCGAATGCTCCAGATTCAACTACCAGTATAATACCAACCTAACTATCCTTGTGGGATGTACGATTTTGTACAAAAAAACGCATTTTGCGCGAGCAAGGGCCAAGCAATAACATAAAATATCAATTGAAAATGCATCCATTCCCATGGGAATAAGAGTGTGGGACATAACAAAACTCGTTGACGGCTTTTCCATGTGGGAAGTGCTTTATTTCATTTCACGCGTCTTGTCGGCGCGCAGAACTTTCCAAATTAAATCTACTTTTTCAGCGCAGGGAAGAATCATGTTAAAAGTGGAGAAGGGCTGGAGAAACTTAAGAAAGACTGGTTGTATTTTCAAATATATTTCGATTATAGCTCATTCAAAATCCAGTTTCCACGTTGTTCTCATTCTAGAAAAAAAACAATCAATACTCTATCTCTACTCTATCGTTTATTGTTATCATCTACCTTTTACAAAAAGACGTCAATATGCCTCTCGGCACTGTCAAAACAATCATACCCAATACTACACCTCTTTACCTTGGGCATAATGTTTTCCCATTTCAGCGGACCACGTGTTATTTCCTAGAGTATCGTTTTCTTGTTTAAATGTTGAACATTATTAGAGACAATGATATGGTTAAAACTCGATCAAACAAAAGATCATTTCTAATGCAGGCGCCAAGCAAAGCTCACAGCCTACCACAGTTTGTGGTTTTTCTTTTTGTTTAAAGCGCATAGAGCAGATTTGGATAGGCGCTATATAAATATTTATTATTATTATTATTATTATTATTATAAAAAATGGTCTGAAATGTGAAAACATTAAACCTTAGATAAATAGAGGATATTACATGGGCGCGCGGAGATACGAAATTTATCTTCGAGTGTTGAAAAGATCTCTCACGAGTGAGCGCAGCGAACGAGTGAGAGATTTTCAACACGAGAAGATAAATTGCGTATCTCCAAGCGCCCATGTAATATTCTGTTTATTATAWAATTATCAATGAAGTATGTTTTGGCTTTTTCAGGCAATTCTTTCCGTATATTTTTGAATAGCCATCGCAATGGTGTTATTTTCACACGTGAAAATAACATGTTATTTTCACGTGTGAAGATATCAATTTTAAGAAATAGAGAAAAATAGATATTTCATAGGTAATTATATAATAATATAATCTATTGTTACCCTTGAACGTGAAAATGCCCAAACCGTTATTAATCTATTCAATTGTTTAATATTGAATTCGCTACTTTTAATTTTTTTAAATAGAAACTAAAAACTTACAAAAATTATTTTAAATGCTTTGTTTCTTTCTTTTACAAATCAAAACATTATAAGGTTTTATTTATTAATAGTATTATCTTCTAGTTTATACTAGCATATCACTCATTATCTAAAATAATTTAATTGGAAATAGGAAAGCCATTGGTACTCATAGATTAGCAATCTTTTTTCCATGTGGGACGCGATAATTAATTCATTGATTTCTTAGCTTTTCTTATACGCAGATGCGCAAATGCCAATCACATCCACTGAGTTAGATCAATCCATTCCCTTTTGTTAATTTTGCGTGGCGTTTGACTAGTAGTGCGCTTAATTTCGATTCATGACTAAAATTATGAACGACTATTTACTTCAAAACAACAACGCAACGCAAAACTTTCAAAAATCTTTAAATTTACATTTATTATTTGTGCCAACGTTATATATCATGCTTCTACAAAAGATATTCGTTAAACAAAATAAAGTTTGGCTTTTAAAGTATGCAAACCAAAAAAAGGGAAACATATAAAACTATATATTAGTTAGAGCCTACCCTTAAGGGCGTTGTCTTTTCTTTTTTTTTAAAGAGTGACAGAAATCACCCTCGCTCGATACCTTTATGATACAATAGACCCCTCGCCCCTTGCTTTGACGTCACATGAAAGGGGTCTAAAGAAACATTATACATAATTTGGTTATAAGAATGGTTAACATTCGGTCGCGAAGTGACAACGTTTGAGACCTAAACCTATGGAAATATAATTTCTGACGTAATAGCATATATCTTAACATTACATGTTATAAATCCTAATGATTAGCCATTCCGAGGTCGAAGGAAAAAACTGGAGTTGACATTGAAGTGCATTTTGGGGCTGTTTTAAAGGCATATTTCCAAGATGGCGTCTATTTCGTCCCTTAAAACAGTCCCACAATACCCTGCAATGTAAACTCCAGTTTTTTCCTTCCACCTCGGAATGGCTAATAAAGTAACTTGTTACAAAACAATTTGATTTTAATTTTCGTCGTTTCTATACGGTTACTGAACTTTTTCCTGGCGTTGTCTTTCTTTACGCTGTAGGAGGAAAATACGTACAGAAGCTTGGTTATTAAACACTCAAAATAATGTAACGTTTTGTATTCTTTTTATCGCAAGTAGAATGGCATAAACAAATGATCCTTATATATTTAGGCTACCATCAGTGGCTGCCATTTTAAAGTCGTTAACATGGGCGGATCCAGGATTTTTTCAAAGGGGGGGGTTGTAGCATTGGTTGAGGTACTTGTTTGGCGGGAGAGTAGCACAGGGTTCCCAAACGGAAGTAGGTCTTATGATAATAATTATTTGCTGCAGGCAAGCATGGTTGTTTTTAGGTCCCACACACGGTATAGAAAAAAAAAGCGAGCAAAATGTGTTCGGCACCCCTGTTTTAATAAAACTCGCGATGCTGTTAGTGTTGTCATGAAAATAATAATAAAAAATCACGATTGCTCTCATAGGGGGGGTGGTTGCAACCCCCAAAACCCACCCCTAGATCCGTCACTGGTTAATATTTATAAAGAGGAGTTTGCAAAAAAAAAAAAGAGCGGTTTTCCTATGAGTGGGAAACAATATTGAAAATTCGTAACCTTTCTAGCTCTTTCTGTAACCGTACCGTATCTTAATTAGCGTAACCGTAACTAAGCGTTATGATCAGATAATTTACTGGAAGACAATGGAAAGTAATTCCAGTAATATCATGGTATCGTGTAGGTGCTTCTTCAGCTCCGTAAAAGTCTTCCAAAAATCCACGGAAGTTTAAAAGCTGAGTGGAGTCATCATATTTGCACTTATTGTGATTATGATTATGAAACAACTAAAACTGTAAAAATCATAAAAAATATGTAATACAGAAACCTTTCTCGATGCATTGTGATTCTTCAATGGTACTTCTCTGCAAAGTTGTCTTATCTTGATCACATTTAAGACAGGTGACTTGACCTGGTTTGGGCTGGTATGTTCCAATGGGACATGGCTTACATTCTCCTTCTAGGTTTTCTTTAAATTTTCCTGGTGGACATTGGACTAAAAACATAGTTTATAAGACAACAATTTCAATGGTCAGATGATGATAAAAAACAACAATGATGATGATACATGATGATGATACATGA